TTTTTTTTTTTTTGTATTTTAGGGAAGGGTCTACAGGGTGTTCAGGGTCTCACTATTAGATTGGACTCTTGTGATCTGCCTGTTTACAGCCTCTCAAGAGCTGGGATTACAGGTGCACACCATCACGCCCAATCTTAGTTGCTGTCTCAGCACAGACAGGAGGGGGAGGTGCTGGCATGGCAGGCCTAGGGATCGAACCCTGTCCCCTGCCTGCTTGCAGGCACTTTAATCTGCTGAGCTATTTGGCTGGCCCAGCTCTAAGACTATTGTCCTCTCAAAGATTCTGAAACTTGGAAATATGTTTTTTTTTAAACTTTTAATTTGATTATTTATTTATTTGAGTAGTCTGGAGGTGGCATTAAGGATCCTTCACAAAAACAACCCATAGGCTTCTCCAGAGAAAGCAGGAGCCACATGTCCACCTGCAGGACAGTCAGCTCCTGCCAGTGGAGGGAGGAACTGAGGTGGCTTTTGCTTTTTTTTTTGAGACAAGGTCTCACTGCATAGTTCAGACTATCCTGAACTTACTGTGTAGCCCAGGCTGTCCTTGAACTTGAGCCAGTCCTCCTGCTCAGCCTCCCAAGTGCTGGGATCAGAGGTATGTGCCACCGCACCTGGCAACTTTACATCTTCTTGCTGGCACTTTAATTTTATACAGGCAGGTTTATCTGACTTTTACAAAATGAATATACATGCAGTAAGTCTGTTTTCATTTCAGAAACAAACCTTGAAAGCCCTAAGACAAAAATTGAAGCTACCTATAACAGTTTCCCCATAGCAGAGGTGATGTTGGAGGGAAGAAACTTGCCTTGCTGGGTGAGTGAAGGTAGTGCCTCTGATAGGAGTAGCCAGGGTTCTGCAGAGCGAGGGTTTTTTTTTTTTTTTTTGCGGGACCAGGGAGAGCGAGGTTTTGATGAGTAGAATGTCCTTGCGCAGTAGCTTTCTGTTGGGCACTTTCTTCTGGAGGTCAGCTAGGGAGGGAAACACTGCTGGTGTGGCCCATCCATGTGGCATGGGTGTGGCAGAGGTCTTGGTGTGAAAACTTGGGGACCAAGTTATTGTAAAGAGGTATTCCCTGTGCAAGCCTCTGATGCTACTTCTGGGGTATCCCCCCTTTAAAAATTTTTCATTTTAAGACAGGGTCTTACTGAATTGATAAGTTGCCTAGGCTGTCCTTGAATTTGAGACAGTCCTCCTGCCTCAGCCTCCCAGAGTGTTGGGATTATGGCTTGTGCCACCACACCCAGCAACCTCCACTTTTATTGCTCTGCTTTGCTGCCATTTACGGCATTGTATTGCTTCCTGCCAGTTCAGCTTCTGAAGTAGCAGGTGTTCCTTTCCTCTCTGAAAGGCAGAGTGAGACAGTAGGGAGGGGTTTTGCACATGTGAACCCATTGTAACTGCAGGCCATTTCAGGGCTGTCCAGGTCAGGAGCGCATCTGAGACAGAGCTTGGCATTATCAAAGGAGGAGGGAGCCCAGGTGGGCGCCAGGCAGCTGTTCGGGTTCTTCTGGGTTGGGAGGGCTGTTCTCTGTTCTAGGCTTGTTAGACTTCTAGATCTAAATCAAGTTGGCAGACAGTAAGAAATTGCTCCCCATCTGGTGCTTCATCAAGGTTATACTCAGTCTCTTAGCACATTCAGTGTGTGATTAATACTGCTGCACTTGCATTTAGAATCCTGCAGGGCCTTTTGCAGCAGGGATGTCATCCATCCAAGGATGGGCCTTCTTTTTTTTTTTTTTTTTTTTAAATTTTTTTTATTTTTTTTTTTTATTGTGGGCGGGGGCGCGCGCGCGCGCGCGCGCGCGCGTGCGTGTGTGCGTGTGCGTGTGTGTGTGTGTGTGGCCAGCTCAGCCCACCAGGGGGCGCGGCTGGCTGGCATGTGGTGCTGGGGGATCTAACCGCAGTCCCTGTGCTTTTCCAAGCTTGTTCCAAATAGGTGCTTTAGACCACTGAGCCATCTCTCCAGCCCAAGGATGGGCCTTCTGTAGGTGCCCCCAACAGGCCTGCACCAGGCCTAGGCCAGAGCACTGCTCCCTGCAGCCTGTGAGTCACCAGAGGTGAGCCTGACCCTCAAGACTCTCCTCAGAAGCAATTAGGCAGCAGTTTACTCCCAGATCAGAACTGTCTTAGGGACTACTTTTTTTGTAGGGGGGTGGTTACTCTCCACAGGTCACCCTCGAGGCAGCTGGGAGCCCTTGAATACCCAGGATGGAGGGGATGGTCACTGGAGAGGAGAGAGATGGAGGGAGCCTCCTACTCCTTACTTCACTGGCCTCTTCTGACACCGCTTCCCGGAGTGCTGGACCCTTAGGAAAAGAGGGCCCTTTTGTTCACCAAGTGGGAACCCTGTGCTGTCTTTCTACTATTTTACTTTTTTCCTCCCAGGATGGCTGATTCACTTTCTTCCTTTGTTTTTCTTTCTGTAGTGCTAGGATCAAACTCAGGCCCTCCTCACATACACTGGGCAGGTGCTCCACTACTGAGCTACTTCCTCAGCTTCACACATTTCCATCCGAGGGATCTCTTAAAATCCTTCCACCCCTGGGAAAGGCCCTCCTCTTGGTTCATCAGCAAACTGTAGCTTTAATTATGAGCAATTAATTGAGTCAACTGAGAGAAGGACTGGGGCCAGGCAGGCCCCTGGGGCAGGGTGTGTACAGGGAGGGACACTTACTGCTGAGGGAGGAGAGGTGCTAGGCCTATCTGGCTTGTGACTGGGTGTGGGGTCTAATGGACAGCACTGACTGGAGACCGTTAAACATTGGGGAGAATGCTTTTTTCATTATTATTATTTGACATATGTTTAGTTAAAATAAATTGAAGATTCAAGGAAAAAACATCACTCAGGTTCTCTGATAGGTATATATAGTTAGAGGGTCATTTGAAATGTAAGGCCACATTTGTAGCCTTTCATCAGAGTCCTCTGAGCCTCCCACTCTACATCTCCTGCCTCCAGGGTGTTCTCCAAGCCCTCTCCTCACCAAATGGGCAGAGTGCATTCATCCCCAGTTTGGGTGGGAGCTGCCTGGCACCTGGGTGTCAATGTGTCTCTTTTGTCTGTCTCTTTCTGGTGAACTGCCAGTCACATGAGGACAGGAACAAGATCTGACACCCAGTTGGTGCTTCAGTCACACTGGTGCACGAGTGGATGTATGTGCTCAGGAGAAAGAGGTGTGTACTGGAAGAAGGGGTAGGAAAGCTTGGAGGCCCTGTGATCTGTCTCTGTACTCTTGAGGGGAGGTGATCAGTAGCCTGCAGGAGCCATTTTAGATTGCTGAGCCAAGTGAGTTGATGGTATTGAGAGAAGAGTAATCTTGGAGGTGTGCAGGGTGACCACACTGGCAGGTGAGGTGGCAGGGATGGGTTCTTCGCGGGGAGCCTTGGTGACGTGTGATGGTGAGGTCCCACCTGGAGTGGAATGGGTTTTGGAAGCAGGTAGTCTGGGGTGGGCTGAGGACAGGAAGGATCCTCTGGTGTTGGTGGTTGTAGGACAACAGGACCATCTCTTCTCTTTGTCCTTGTGTGAGGGCAGCAGGATGTGCTTCTAGCTTTCTTCTGTACCTACATTTACTGCTAGGATAGTGTCTGAAACCTTTTGTTCCATCATCTTGTTCCATCATACTTTTATCTGATTTTCAGGACAAACTGTCTTTGACTCAAGCCCACTTGGGTTGGGTTAGTTAGTTGACTGATACTTCTAAATGGTTTCTGTTTCATCAGACTTCTGCCTTTTTCATTGGGCTTCTGCCTGCCTTTTTACTATGGTGCTGTGGATTGAACCCAGGACCTCACCCATAATAGGCAAGCTACTGAGCTACACCCCCAGCCCCTCTAACCCTTTCATTTGTAACAGTCTTGGTAAGCTGCCTAGAATGGCCTTGGACTTACAGTCTTCCACCTCACACTCTGCAGTATTGGGATCATAAACATAGTGTGCCACCACACCCAGCTAGCTTTTCAGCCTGTTTTTGTTTTTTCTGTTTTTGAGACAGGGTCTCCCTTTGTAGTTCAGGCTGACCTTGAACTCAAGATCCTCCTGCCTTAGCTCCAGAAATGCTAGGATTGTAGGAGTGTACCACCATGCCCAGCTCTAGCCTGTTTTTTTCTTTTTGAGACATGATCTTGCTATGTAGTTCAGGCTGGCCTTATGCTCACTTTGTAGCCCAGGCTGGTCTCGAGCTCAGCGATCTTCCTGCCTTAGCCTCCCAATTTCTGGGATTACAGGCATGCACTATCACACCCAGTTCTAGCCTTTTTTTTTTTTTTTTTGCGGAACTGGGGATTGAACTCAGGCCCTTGCACTTGCCAGGGAAGCGCTTATTCCACTGAGTCATCTCCCCAGCCCTAGCTCTAGCCTATTTTGAAAAAGATTTTTCCTAAGATAAGATCAACAGTGAAGGATTTTGGTATAATTAGTTTCTTTATGATCTTTTGGTATAAGCTTTGTTTTAAAATTGGTGTTTTTTATATTTTAGGGAAGGGTCTACAGGGTGTTCAGGGTCTCACTACTAGCTGAACTCTAGTGATCCACCTGTTTACATCCTCCCAAGAGCTGGGATTACAGGTGTGTACCACCACATCCAGTCTCAGTTGTCATCTCAGTATGCCCTGTGGATGGGGCTGGCATGGCAGGCTGGGGATCCAATCCCAGCCCCACAGGCACTTTAATCTCCTGAGTTATTTGGCTGGCCCTTTGTGTGTGTGTGTGTGTGTGTGTGTGGGGTTTGAGCCTAGGGCCTCATGAATGCTAGGCAAGTACTCTTCCACTGAGTTATACTCCCAATCCTAAGATTAGTATTTCTAATGTGGTCATTAATTTTTCAAGTCAATGTGTGAGGGCCTGCTGTTCCCCAAGCATTCTTCTAGCACTGAGGATATGGTAAGGAACAAAATTTAAAAAAATCAGAATCTTGGGCTGAGATATTACTCAGGGGCATAAGAGCTTGCCTGGCAAGCCCAAGGTCCTGCATTCAATCCCCAGTACTGGGGGAAAAAAAAAATCAAAATCTTCCTCCCACAGAGCTGACGTCTGCTGATTTGTGGGTTTAGCGACAATAAGCAAAATACTAGTGAGAGATGGTGAAAAGTATACATAGAAAAATAAAGCAGCAAGGGCATGTTTTCTATTTCAAATACAGATGTGAAACCAGGCATGGTGGTGCATACCTGTAATCTGAGGCATCTTGACCCTGTTGTGTATGCTGTCGCACAGATCTGTGCACTCTGAGACTGGGACAGGAGGATTGTAGACCTGAGCCTTGCCTGGGCAGTTTAGTGACTTAATGAGACCCTGTCTCAAAATAAAAGTGGTGCATACCTGTAACCCCAGCACTCAGACTGAAGCAGGAGGATTGCTACGAGTTTGAAGCCAACCTGGGCTACATAGTGAGTTCAAGGTCAGCCTGAACTACATAGGGACACCCTGTCTCAAAAAGCCAAAGATAAATAAACATGAATGAATGAATGAGCTGGAGGCTAGAGACGTAGTTCAAAGAGAAGGCCCTCAGTTCAGTTCCCAGTACCAAAAAATAAAATAAGCAAAAAAAGCCCAACAAAATTCAAGGCCAGCCAGGGGAGCATATCAAGACCTTGTATCAAAATAAGAGAACTTGGGGCTGGTGAGATGGCTCAGTGGTCTAAAGCACCTATTTGAACAAGCTTAGCAAAGCAAAGGGACCACGGTTCAATCCCCCAGCACCACATGCCAGCCAGCCACGCCCCCTGGTGGGCTGAGCTGGCCACACACACACACACACACACACACACACACAAATAAAAATAAAAAAAAAATTAAAAAAAATAAAAATAAAAAGTTATAAAAAAAATAAGAGAACTTAGAGAAATCTCATTAACCTGCAGCCAATAAAACCAGTCCACTCCGCCATCGAGAAAGGTACCCCACACACCACACCTATAATATTCAAATAACGGAACTTAACAAAAAAAGGCTATACAGATGAATGTGCATTTTGTGTCTGTGTATTCAGAGTGGTTGGAATAGATATATAGTTACATTCTCTTAATGAATGGAATGATTTGTTCTGATGGTGTTTGTGGATAGGATGTCGGGTCCGCATCTTGAACAGCAGTTAACCACTGAGAGGAATGTATGCAGTGTGTTAATTATTGAAACTGACGTACCGATTTGATTTGAAACTGTCTCATTACTATTTATCAATAAAATTATGGCAAAAAAACCCCGATTACAAGTAGTTTCAATAGTTAATACATTGCATATTTTTGTCTTAGTGATTAGTCATTGTACAAGATGTGGACATGATGTCCTGTCCATGAGCACTGTTGGAATAAATCTCTCCATTCATTGTATTAAGAGAATGCAGCTGTATGTCTGATCTAACTATTTTGAATATACAGATACAAAATGGTCATTAAAAAAAAAAAAAGAGAGAGAGAGAAAGGTACCCAGATCATTAGGTAAAGATCAAAACAAGATAACAGGACAGCAGGGAACACAGCCCCAACGGCATCTTGACCCTGTTGTGTACGCTTTCACACAGATCTCTGCACAAGACTGTGGCTCGCTTTTGGGTGGTGGAGATATTTCTCCATCAAACACACAAACTGTAGATTGTGTTTTGAATGGACCTTGAGGAGTAGCTTTTCTGTATTTGTTTCTTTAATGTAAAAGTATAGCAACTGCTATATATTATAATATTTTTGGGTGGACTTGAGTCAGGGTCTCACTATGTAGTTAAGGCTGTTTTTTTTTTTTTTTTTTTTTTCTTCTTTCTTTCTTTTTTTTCTTTTGGCAGAACCAGGGATTGAACTCAGACCCTTGCACATGCCAGAGAAGCACTTACTCCACTGAGCCATCTCTCCGGCCCTTAAGGCTGGTTTTGAACTCACTACATAGCCCAGGCTGACCTTAAACTTGTGACAGTCCTCCTGTCACAGCCTCCTGAGTGCTGGGACTATAGGTGTGTGCCACTATGCCTGGATGTGACTTTTTAATAAAGGAAAAATAAGAGCATTTTAAAAAGACAAGGCTGAGTGAGGTGGTGCATGTCTATAGAGGGTGGCAGTGAATTACAAGCCAGCCTGGGCTATGCAGTGAGTTCAAGACCAGCTTGAACTACAAGGAGACACCCCCTTTCAAAAGACCCTAGAATAGAGATCTGAAAGAGGTCAGCTATGGGAATAGCTGGGGGAGGAAGGATCCAGATGAGAGAGGAACAAATATTCAATCATGCCCTGGAGGCAGAGAATGCTTAAGGTGGTTGAGGACTAGACCATGAGGAAGGGAGGCCACCCTGGAGTTCTGGGGTTAGGGCTCAAGCAGCTGACCCAGATCTAGTCTGCTTAGGTCTGGTCTTGGTTTGTATCGTCTTTTCTGCCGGTACAGGGATTGAACCCAGGACCTTCATGGTGAGCCAAATCCCCGGTGTCTCAGCCCCAACCCCCATCTTAAGAAGAAGCCTCATTAAGTTGTGATTTATGGTCTTTCTGCCTCAGCCTCCCAGCCAAAGTGTTTCTAATGTGCATCCAGGGATGAAAATCACTAGTTTAAGGGTTGAACAAACCCTTTGCATAGTATTTGATGGACAGATTTAAATGGATAATTTAGTGAGAAGAGACTCAAGCCCCATTTCTATGGGAAGGCTAACTCAGTGCCTTGTGGCCTTGCCAGGAACAACAGGAATCTTCCACAACAGTGGCCCTTTTTGGCTTGTGTCTTTTCTGCTTTGATTGCTTCACCTCTCTGGACCTCAGTTTCCTTGTTTGTGGAGTGAATGGCTTAAACTGAGTGATTTGCTAGAGTCTCTCTGGCTCTGACAGACCTTAGTGTTTCTGGTGCTGGGAAACCTTTTAATCCGGAATAATGTTCTGGAACCATGTTTTTCAGTCCTGGTCTTACAACACATTAAGGTGTGTAATAATGGTGGCAAGGGTACCCTGAATGTCTCAATACCAGACCAGAGGGGACTTGGTGCCACATCCAGTAGTGCCCTTGCAGAGGAGGGTATTGGGAAATGGGAGATGTGAACACTGCCTCCCAGAGCACAGCTTAGAGTGAAGGTGCCCACCCAGCCCTGGGGCAGGTGGGCCAAGTGCTCTACGTGTGGTTGCAGCCTTAGGGGTTCTTCTGAAGATAGCAGTGTGCTGTGACTGTAAAGCCTGCACATGTAGGCATGAGCATTGTGGACTGTGGAGGAACCTGAGCTCAGAATCCTCCACTTTCTTTTATGTGTCCCGCCTGGGAGAAGCTCTCTGGACAGCCTAACCATCCCATGACTGGGCTGCCTGCTCACCCTGCAGCAAATAACCAGGTGCAGCCACGAGAGCATTTCCAGACTTGGCTACTATTGGACAGCAGACCTCAGACACCCCTTGGCCCCTGGTCTTTGCCTTTTGTCCTCATTTAGACATTGTTGGGTTTGCTTGTTAATGTTTTAAAATGTGAAGATCCAAGCTGTGCATGCCTGCAATCCCAGAACTTTGGGAAGCTGAGGCAGGAGGATTGTAAGTTGGAGCCCAGCCTGGGCAACTTTTAAGACCCTGTCTCAAAATAAAATTAAAATGGCTGGGGCAGTACACACCTATATATGAGGCTGTGAGTTTAATTGCCAGTACTGGGGAGAAGAACACAAAACAAATAGAATTAGAAATTCAAGGGAAGAGACCTTTGCTTTTGTTATGTGTAAGTTCATGTACCTGATAGAATCTTAACCAGTGTTGGGTTTGTTTTATTTTGTGGTACTAAGAGTTAAACCCAGGACCTTCACATTGAGCTATATCCCAGGCATTTTTTTAAATTTTTGAGACAAGGTCTTATTAAGCTGCTAAATTGCTTGAGCTCCACCTTGCAGTCCTACCCAGGCTCCCACAGTGCTGGGGTTACAGTTGTGCCACCACCGTGTCCTCTTTCAGCAGTGTTGGTGAGCATTGTCCAGTGTGGGTGGTGGTGGTGAAGCATTAGTAGTGACCACATTCCCAAGGAAATTCTCAAGTTGAGCCACAGTTGAAGAACACCTAGCTTAAAACAATGGATCCTGCCAGTTTTCTCTGCTTCTCTCAGTCTCATCACCTGCTCATATTTGTCCCCTCCATCTTTTCTGGAACCTGTGATCCCACAGCTTAATTGTCCGGCTCTGTGCCTTGCCCCCTGCAGGGTTCCTGAGTGCTGGAGGGGAGCTGTGTGGCAGATAGATTGGGCAAGACTTTCCTCGCCCTGCTATCAGAAAATGTGCAAGGGAAGTTTTGCTGGCCATGTATGTGTCTGGTGACAGACACATTTGCTGGGTGACAGGCAGTGTGGCCAGTGGTTTTACACATAGACTCACTGGACCTCTCTGAGAGCCAGCCCCGGTGTAGAAACTGCCCAAGGTTGCACAGCTGGCAGTCAGTCAGTTGGGTTTTGAACCCAGACAGGTTCTGGGCGCTCAGCCTCTAATGGGGGAAGGGCTGGCGCTGGCCAGGCTAGGAGGAGCTCACCCTTGACTGCCTTTGGGGCCTGCTTTAAGTTTATGTTCGGAGATTTTCAAAGGTCTTATCTACTACTGGTGTGAGTATAATTAGAGGTTAAACTCTCTTTCCTTACTTTAACATTTACTTTCAAATCCATTTTAAAAGCATTTTGTTTTTCTTCTTTCGTAGGTCGTGTTTGGACACTAGACCATGTGCCTAGGTAGTTTTTCCTTTCTCCGCAGCTCTGCTCCCCCAGCAACGCTCACCACACCCTTGTTTTGAGAACCTCACTAAGGTATGATGCCTAGGCTGACCTGAGCTGGCCTTGAAGAGCTGAGTTTGGACACAAGAGATCTTTTCTGTTCTTTGGGTTGATTTTATTTTGGTGGCGAAATATCACAAGAAAATTGATCATTTTAAAGTGTAGAGTTCATTGGCATTAAGTGCATTCACAACCATGCAGCCCTAAGCCCCGCCCGTTCCAGAAACTTGTATCATGTCCCCTGGCAACTCTGAACCTACCAGGTGGCTGCTTCCTGCCTCCCCCACGCTCCTGGCCACTACCATTCTGTTTCCTGTCTGGATTTGCCTATTATCTAGGGATGCCATGTAAGTGGACTCAGTCTATGTCTTGTATAATATTATTTAAATGTTATAGTGTTTGTCAGAAATCTTTTCTTTTCTTTCTTTTATGGTACTAGAGATTACACCCAGGGTTTTATGCATGCTAGGCAAGTGCTGTACTACTGAGTGTCTTCCTTTCTAAGGCTGAGTAACACTCCATTTATGTTTATCCTGAATCTGATGCAGCTCTGCATCAGAATAATTGGGTTGCTTCGGTATTGGGCCTCATGCTGCTGTGGATAAGTTGTGCCAATTTTTTTTTTTTTCCTGTTTTGAAACAGTTTTTACTATGCAGTTCAGATTAGCCATGAACTCACTTTGTTGCCCAGGCTCCCATGCCAGTATTTTGAGATCCTGCTTTGGTTCTTTTCTTTCTTTTTTTTGACGGTACCAGGGATCAAACTCAGGACCTTGTGCTTGCCAGGCAGGTGCTTAAGCCACTGAGTTATATCTCCAGCCCTGCTTTGGTTCTTTTGAGTCCATACTTAGAAACTCTCAATTACTAGGTCATGACCTATTTTTATTTATTTATTTATTTTTGTTTTTTGAAACAGGGTCAGTCTTGTTATGCAGATCAGGCTGGCTTCAAATTTACTATGTATCCCAGACTGGCCCCTAACTCCACAGCAGTCCTCCTACCTTAGCCTCTGAGTGCTGAGATTACAGCTGGAGACTACCACATCTGGTACATGTCATTTCCTTTTTTAATTTTCTGAGAAATTGCCATACTATTTTCCAAGAAACTGCTGAACTTCCATAATAGTTATAGGATTTTATATGACCTCTAGCAATGTACAGTAATTTACTTTTTCATATTCTCATCAACAATTTTATAATTATTGTAATAATCACCTGTTGGGTGTGATGGTGGTTATCTCACTGGACTTTGGCGTTCACTAGCCAACTGCTGGGTCCTATACCAGGTTCAACTGTGAACACTTCTGGCCAGATATTTATTTACCCTTCCTATTCTTCTGTCCATCCTAGACATCACATTATATTATCTACACATCTGAGAAAGGTGAAAACTTTTTAAGACAAGTTTGGCTACACTGCCCTTAAACTCCAGGTCTGAGTGGTCCTCCTGCACACCTCCTGCATAGCTGACCTGACAGGTGTGTGTGCCACCAGGCCTGGCTAAGAGCAAGGCTCTCAGTGTTGTTTTTGGCTGAGGATTGGAAAGGTGCATCGCGACAGACCTTTGGGTGGAGTGCACCCTGTTGACTGTTCCTATGGCAGGCAGGGACCAGCGCAGGGCACATGTGGGAACACAGCAGTGCAGTGGCTCTACTGCCATCCAGGGCTGGTGGTGCAGGGCTTGTTGGTGGGGGTCCTGTAGTCCTACACCCCTTCAGAAGGCCGAGTGCCTAAGGTGTGAGTGGTCATGGGAGAAGCTCTAGAGCTCTGTGGAGAGGAGAGCTAGACATAGTGGGGAGAGAATGAGAAGAGGTGGCTCTCATTTTCTGGTTGCCTTTCAGTGGTGTGCAAGTGGTGTGTTGTAGAGGCTCCATCCCAGTGTGAATTTTGGCCCTTTCTTGTTGCTGGGCAGTGACATTCTTCTCATTGAACTAAGAGAAAGTAGCTGTGTATCTATGCTATTTTGTATATATAGATT